CCCATCGGGTTACTGTAGTCGCGCAATCCAGCCACACAAATAGAGAGCCATCGACTCCTTTTCAATACTTTGAAATGAATTCGATGAATAGGAAACCCTATTTAACACTAATTGTGACATTCCTTTCCTTCATTAAATTTTCATTTTGATGTATGTCATGAATTTGTGCACTTTTTCATTTCAATAGCTGTAGTAGAGATAAAATTGTCGGAAGTGAAAAATTGATTTGTGGGCTTCTGTAAGGGCTATTAACATGAAATCAACAGAGTAAAGGGAGAATTAAGGGAAGAGGGAAGAAGAATAGGCGGGATCGGAGAAGAGTTGGTTATGCTGAGAAACCCGTTTGGGATAAGAATTCAAAAATAAATTATATTTTGGGTTAAATCATGAAATGAGTCAAGATTTTATGAACTCCTAAAGTGTTAATGAATTTTAGATTGTTTACACAAGGCGTCAAGCTCTAGGCGAGCTTGTGGAATTTCGTCGTAGAACCGCTTCATCAAGTCAGGTGAAATAGTCTTGCGCTAACTTAAGGAAAACATCTTTGTAGGTTTTTATGTAATTCTATGTCTGAAACTGTTGTATTTAGAATTTCCTACATATTGTGAATAAATATCTACACTGATTGTGTGAATGCAAATTGATTACCACTTACAATACATGTGATTTTACAGTGTTATGATTTGATAAATATATTAATTTAGTGCGATCCATGTATGATAAATGAAATGTATGATGAATATTTATTACAGAAATTAAGCTTTAAAAATATCAAAAAGTGATGTTATAGGTAAACTATTGCATGAGTAGTTACAAGTACGGATGATAAAGATAGGTGGGATTTCCGACTTCTAATATTCAAACGGTGATGAAACTTCGTGAATCATTGGGATCAGACGAGAACGGAATATAGGGAACCATTGATAACACGGAGGCTATTGATAACTATTTCCCCCCATATAAAGGGAAACATTTATCAATAGCTAATGTAGACTTCAAGCTAGATGACAACCCAATGACATGAGACCAGTTGAGGCCTATACAATTATAAGTGAAATTCATATTATTAAATTTATAACTCTACTGAGAATGCTTATAATAACTCATAAATAGATGAATTACATAATTTATGCAGCAGTCGTGATTTATTTTATTTCTCATTTTTTTTTACATCTTTTACATGATTCTAATATGTTTGTGACTTGTGTGGACATGTACAATTACATACGGGCATGTATATTATTTATTTTTTGTGTGTAAAATTTTATTTTAACTTTAATTATTTTTATGAGCTCTTTTTTTCTCATTCTACGTTGTTGACTTACAATAAGGCTAAGGAGTACCAGGGCGAGTAGTCAGTGTGACTTGTAAAGCTTTTGTATTTCATAATTTTAGAAGTTTGTACAAACTTTTGGGTACATAATTTTATTATGTTGGATTTAACAGCCCTATAGATATATAGATACATACACACACATATGTGTGTGTGTGTTGATAATATGGTTTTCATGCTTCCAAATATATATGAATATGAATGAATTATGATACGAAATGTATCATGTTTATAGAAATTTAGTGGGTTCTGATTCTGTAAGTCAGAATCAGTGCTTGTGAGAATTTGGTCAAACTAAATCGTCCGCCTGTATCGCACCTCAGCCGACCCTTAAGGGATCATGATTTCTTATTTCGTAACTTTTGAAAAGAAATTGACTTCGAGTTAGGATCAAGACTTTTTATTTCTTTTATAAGTTTCTCCTCTACATCAATTGGTGTAGAGCTAAAACCTGATAATGGAAAGTGGCAACAACGCTACACAGGATTGGAAGGTCTTGAATGGATATCAATTAGAAATTTGTTATTATTAATTTTTATATGTGCATCAGACCGCCTTACTTCTCTTCCTAAACCCTTATATAGGTTGTGTTAATCAAAATATCTTTGATTGATATCACAATCCCTTCAGTGTAAGATATCATTAGCTGAATTTGAACATACAAAATTACTAAATCAAGAGAGGCTAACATTAAAAGCACGGAAAAAATTAAGAATTCAATGAAAATTTTAAAAACTATTGGTCAAGTGAAACCTTTTATGAGCTAAAAAAATACACAATCTAAATCACAAGAAGCAAAAACTAAAACCACTTCAAAATTGATGAACATACATCAAGTTAAACTTGTGCATCTCCTGCAATTATTCCTAATGATATTGCAACTATTTTTAATAGCCTTATCAAAATTCCAAATAATCTACATGCGGAAAAGACGATTCAAATAATATTAGATATTAGCATATTTTCAAACTAACCTCTTTGCCTGAGCCCGGAACTCTTCATTGCAAAATCTATTGTATGGATAATTGCCAACAACAGACAATCCACTACCATTAAAGTATTACATGGCTACAATCATTTAACTTTAAATAACAAAGTCCTTCAAAAAGGAGAGAATATGATGTAACACATGAAAAATATAATCAAAATAAATCACTAGGTCCAGATCAAGATGCATTATAAAGTTTGAAAGTTATGTTTTTTTTATATATACATGGAAAGTTTGTTTTGTTTTTGCCATTTAAAATTTAATGCTTAAATTTAAAATTCAAATTTGGGTTATTACCAAATAGTTTTAGACTCCCTTCCAACATATATGGATTACCACCTTCAAAAGAAGCTTCTTTTGGTGAAGAGGTTCCGCCAATATAGGCATCACTTTTTTAAAAACCAACTCTAACCACCCAACTCAGGCTCGTCCTTCAATTTTATCTCATGTCATGAACTTACACATACTCCTGTATTGTATAAATAAAGTGGTTGAACTGTGATCAAAATTTGTAAAGGCTTTCCCTTCTTTTAGCATTGCTTTCTGGTGCATTTTAGGTTGTAGGCTTGGTGGATTTCAATGAAACTTGACTTTTTCTTAGGATCAAGATATTTGTATATTTCTCCTCAGCATACAATCCTTAAGGGTGTTAATCATATTATGTTTTGATTGACAAGGAAACTATTACACTCAATTAATAACTCAAAATCCATTCAAAACTCAACAACAAGCTCCCACATTTGTGGCAAGGTGGCCAAATTGTTAGGAAGTTCTCAAACAACAATTTTGCAAATGTTCAAAAATTAAGAACATTGGTATTGGAAAAGAACAGCCAGTAGCTTCCAAGTGCAAGAAGCATTCCAGGCTGTTAATCATTTTATGTTTTGATTGACAAGGAAACTATTACACACAATTAATAACTCAAAATCCATTCAAAACTCAACAATAAGCTTCCACATTTGTGGCAAGGTGGCCAAATGATTAGGAAGTTCTCAAACAACAATTTTGCAAATGTTTGAAGGTCAGAAATCAAGATTTTTGGTGTTGCAAAAGAACAGCCACTAGCTTCCAAGTGCAAGAAGCATTCAAGCTAGCAGGAAACAGCCGAGGTAAATTCCAAAGGAATCTATTCTTCTATGCTCATGCAGAGTATAATTATAGGTTCTATAAGTTTTTTTCTTCTTGCGAGTGTTCTTGTTAATCTTTTATCAATTCAGCCTTGCCATCCATCCCTTCATCACCCCTCTCCTTTTATTCTACTATTTCTTCTCTATTTACCTCTTTCTCTCTCTCTCTAATTGGAACGAAAGAAAGGATAGAATGCTAGATTCAATGCACACTCCGTCAACAGATATCAAAGCCAAATCTGTCCATTAAGGTGTCCTTACTAAAAGAGGACTTTTCTTGTTGCTTCCATCTAGTTACAATTTGTGCCTACTCTATCATAACCCAAGAAGAGTTTTCTCTTTCCTCCTTTACGTTATTATTTCTTCCTACTCTATTGGGCCACATTTTAAATCATGCGTTGTCGCCATGAGTAACCACATTGCAAATAATCTCTTTCCATTCAAGTGCTAATCCAATAAACCATGATTCAATGACAGATGCTAATATCTCAACTCGCCCAAACCATTTTCCTCCCTAAAATTTCCCCTCCATCTATAATATCATTCCTTGAAAACCAATCTAGAAAACTCCTCATACGAAAACATTATGGTCAGCAACCCAAATCCAAGCTTTCATTTTATCCACATCTCTTATTGATCTCCACTCAACAAGAAAAACTCATGTCCAAAATGTCCAATAAAAAATAATTTACTGCCCTCACAATTCAGCACCAATAATGATGCCAGCCGTGTAAAATGTGGCAGAACATGGGCACTTAAATGGTTCCTTGTGATTGTTTATCAGATTAAGTTTTGATGAGTGAACAGTAAGGTTGCACTCAAACTGATCAATAAATTAGTTTACTGGAAAGATATTAGAGCCACATGATTTAATGGACCTATTCAGAGAAAAAAATCGTAACTGAACACTTCCTCAAGTCATTTATAATGTGAGACAACCCAACTCTTAGGCAAGGATTGCATAACAGCATACATAATAACGACAAAAATTGCATAGAAAATCACATGGAGACCGTGTAACAGAAAAATTACTCTATCTGAGCCAGCCTTGCTCACTCTAAGTTCATGGTAAGTTACACTTAATTCATTCTGACAACATGAAATCTTCTCTTACAATTAGTGGCTATTTCAATCTTTAGTTTCTATTAAAACCATCAAACTTAACAGCCTAAAAACGGGCTATAGGAATTCACATGATTTAGAGCTTTCCAAGCTACCATAGAAGTAATAAAGATTTGATCTAACCTAAACTTTCTCCATAAAAGTAATCAAAATGCATTGTAGCAACACTACAAAGCATCATAAGACCCAAAAAGATTTCATACAGACTTCCTACGTAGAAACTATTTGAGGCAATCAAGGGTCTTATTACTTAATAGGATTTGTCATTAAATCTCAGTCAAGTGTCGCAGAGCACAGGAAAGTGAAACCAATTGAATAAACAATGTCATCACCACAAACAGAAAAAAGAAATTAAGTTTGAACCTAGTTATGAAGCATGGGTTATTATACAAAAATAATATTTCATACAGTACCAATTAACAAAACAAACCTTAGAGGAAGTCTTTGCCATCCTGGGCTCAGTAACATAATCGGCATAATTCGAGTAACCAAGCAGCTGAGCATACTTATGACGCAAATGCACCTGAATTTCCAAAATGCAGTGATGATATTAGCAGGAAGTGAACTTTTATATGTAGTACTGATCTAATAACTTTTACTAGAAATCATACCAAAGAGAAGATCTCACAAGTGCAAGTTGAAAAACAAAAACTAATTTTACTTCCAAGTTTATGCGTCTAAAAAGCCGGAATTTCAGGGATTTAAGTTATTATCAGTATTTTGAATGAGAATAACTACGGACATGGCAACACAAGGTCAACAAATGGGAATGAAACAATGCAAGGAGGCATGCATTATCTTTACATTTTTGTATCGCAAATAAATCATCATAATAATAATCAATAGCCTTATCCCGATTACTTGGCACAGGCTTAATGAATCTTTATTATCCATCATTCCTATTGATTATTGCATGATTTGTTACAAATCCTTCCGCACAATTTCTAAAAAAGTACTTTTAATACTACTCCTAACCATTTCATACCTATCTAATCAATGCATTTTCTAGCCTATATAAAAATCATCAATAATCTCTCAATTATAATTTCCACAACTTTTTATTAGTTACTGCTAACACCACTCTAATAAAATCATTCATCAAACCGTCATTTCAAATTTTATCACACATCTATTATAACAAACTCATTTTTGCAGCACTTAGTTGGCAATTTGTAACTTTTTTTATCACCAAACATTCAAATCCATATCATCGCCACCATTAAACGCGTTTGTCATTGGCTTTATGAATCTTTATTCAGCACTTATTCATGCTGAGTGTTAGAAATGTATATTTAAGTTGTGCAAATATTTTATTTTAAAAATGGTTTTAGTCTACCCTTTTTGCTTCTTAGTCTTTACAGAGTAATTTACTCGTCTCATTGGTGCACCTTTGGACATCTATTATCATTGCCCAAACGATTGAAGCAAATTTTTCACTATGTTGCTTTCAACAGGCGCAAAGCCAAACATGCCTTTTGATCATGAATTGAGGGGAAGATGCTTCTGGAACAGCTTCCGAAATCCTACATGGAGGTTGAAATGGGTATTAAAATATTAAGATGATTATAGCAACGCTGATTCTTAGAATGCCTAGGTAAAATTATTGATTTACAAAAATTTTAGATGGATGGTAAAAATTTAAATGTAAGTAGGTGTCGGCACTAAAAGAAAGTTAAAAGAAAGTTTGGGGGGTCGCCCGTAAGAAGCTGTCGGCAGCCAGAATTGAAATCTCATCGCCCGCTTCGGAAGGACGTTTCAATTTACGTATATATATGTATATAATTTTAGAAAAATATGAAATCAAACTAACCTCATATTTTTCATAGTTTAAATGAAAGAGTATTCTACCTCAAATCCTGTATCTATCCCGAGAGATAAACACAAGACTTGAGGGTGAGACTCGATCAAATAAACTAAGAAAACATATGACATCCGTTTGGGTCTGCGAAACCGTTTTATTTGCCGACAAGTTCCCCTATTTAATACAAATAATTAAATAGGGTTTATTTTAAGCTGGGTTCGGAAAAG